TCCCCCATTGAATGTTTGTAAGGTCTAGATTTATGTTTTCCCAGTCGGTCTTCTCATTTCTTAAATTGAATTGATTGAATAACCCTTCTCGCGTTTTGGTTCTCTTGGACCTACTGCCGTTATTAATGTTAGTTTGCACTTCAATAAGCTTATGGTCTGAGTATGTAGTATCTGAGATTGTAATGTCTCTGATTAGTTCATCAATGTTTGTGAATATAAAGATAAAGATAAAGGGGGGGGGGGGTGCAATATGAGTGCGCGTGATGACGAATTATATTCCAGTCTTGGGCATTTCTCCCTCCCATCCGTACTCCTGCAACGTTGTCTGCATGTTCCTCTCTCTGTTTCTGCCTCTCTCTAAAAATCTTCCAAAGTTATTATATTCGACCTCCTCTCTTTGATAGCGCTGTGTACCTCTCACGCGGAAATCAGGGTATTGAAGATTATGGTATTTTTCTCTCGTTAATTGAGAGTTTACATAGTTTAGGGTGAAAATATCTGCACTTTGTTCCAACACGACATTTACCGCTCCCTAATTGGTTACAGCATTTTCGGGGATGCATGAAAGTGCATTCTGTTCCTTTGGACCCTTACCTGCACATTCCTCTGGCATAATATTTGCAGATATTATTATCATAATATTATGCTAATAATAGGCAGATACCACATGAAATGTGTTCAGGCACTACATGGAATGTCTCCAGGAACCACATGGAATGTCTTCAGGCACCACATGGAATGTCTTCAGGCACCACAAGGGAGCCGGTCGGCCGAGCGGACAGCACGCGGGACTTGTGATCCTGTGGTCCTGGGTTCGATCCCAGGCGCCGGCGAGAAACAATGGGAAGAGTTTCTTTCACCCTATGCCCCCGTTACCTAGCAGTAAAAAAGATACCTGGGTTTTAGTCAGCTGTCACGGGCTGCTTCCTGGGGGTGGAGGCCTGGTCGAGGACCGGGCCGCGGGGACACTAAAAACCCCGAAATCATCTCAAGATAACCACATGGAATGTCTCCAGGCACCACATGGATTGTCTTCAGGCACCACATGGAATGTCTTCAGGCACCACATGGATTGTCTTCAGGCACCACATGGATTGTCTTCAGGCACCACATGGATTGTCTTCAGGCACCACATGGAATGTCTTCAGGCACCACATGGATTGTCTTCAGGCACCACATGGATTGTCTTCAGGCACCACATGGAATGTCTCCAGGCACCACATGGAATGTCTTCAGGCACCACATGGATTGTCTTCAGGCACCACATGGATTGTCTTCAGGCACCACATGGATTGTCTTCAGGCACCACATGGATTGTCTTCAGGCACCACATGGAATGTCTTCAGGCACCACATGGATTGTCTTCAGGCACCACATGGAATGTCTTCAGGCACCACATGGAATGTCTTCAGGCACCACATGGATTGTCTTCAGGCACCACATGGATTGTCTTCAGGCACCACATGGATTGTCTTCAGGCACCACATGGATTGTCTTCAGGCACCACATGGAATGTCTTCAGGCACCACATGGAATATCTTCTGGCACCACATGAAATGTCTCCAGGCACCACATGGAATGTCTCCAGGCACCACATGGAATGTCTTCAGGCACCACATGGATTGTCTTCAGGCACCACATGGATTGTCTTCAGGCACCACATGGATTGTCTTCAGGCACCACATGGAATGTCTTCAGGCACCACATGGATTGTCTTCAGGCACCACATGGATTGTCTTCAGGCACCACATGGATTGTCTTCAGGCACCACATGGATTGTCTCCAGGCACCACATGGAATGTCTTCAGGCACCACATGGATTGTCTTCAGGCACCACATGGATTGTCTTCAGGCACCACATGGAATGTCTTCAGGCACCACATGGATTGTCTTCAGGCACCACATGGATTGTCTTCAGGCACCACATGGATTGTCTTCAGGCACCACATGGAATGTCTTCAGGCACCACATGGATTGTCTTCAGGCACCACATGGATTGTCTTCAGGCACCACATGGATTGTCTTCAGGCACCACATGGATTGTCTCCAGGCACCACATGGAATGTCTTCAGGCACCACATGGATTGTCTTCAGGCACCACATGGATTGTCTTCAGGCACCACATGGATTGTCTTCAGGCACCACATGGATTGTCTTCAGGCACCACATGGAATGTCTCCAGGCACCACATGGAATGTCTTCAGGCACCACATGGATTGTCTTCAGGCACCACATGGATTGTCTTCAGGCACCACATGGATTGTCTTCAGGCACCACGTGGAATGTCTTCAGGCACCACATGGAATATCTTCTGGCACCACATGAAATGTCTCCAGGCACCACATGGAATGTCTCCAGGCACCACATGGAATGTCTCCAGGCACCACATGGAATGTCTCCAGGCACCACATGGAATGTATCCAGGCACCACATGTCATGTCTCCTGGCACCACATGGAATGTATCCAGGCACCACATGGCATGTCTCCAGGCACCACATGGCATGTCTCCAGGCACCACATGGCATGTCTCCAGGCACCACATGGCATGTCTCCAGGCACCACATGGCATGTCTCCAGGCTCCACATGGCACCACATGGAATGTATCCAGGCACCACATGGCATGTCTCCAGGCACCACATGTCACCACATTTAATGCATAGATGATAAACAAACTCACATCATTGGTTACTAGCAGGTAACCTTTAACACAAATAAGTTCATAATTCACCTGACGTTATATTGCTTTCTATAATAATAATAATAATTGGTTGCCTGTGACCTTCAATATCAGACCAACTATAGTGTAAACGCAGCTGATATTGTTGTAGAATGATTAGGTTGTGGGCAGGAATTGGAGTACTAAACGTCCACTGCTTTTCCTTAGTTTATTATAAATATATATATATCTTATACACCGGGCCAGGGGCTAGAGTGTGTGAGGGAGCGTGTGTGGACGCTCTGTGGCCCAGGCTGTCTCTGAAGGTCTGAGGGCTGCAGGCTCAGAGCTTGCTACATTCAAATCTGCTGACAACGTTGTTGATACCTATTAAGTTGTTTAGCTTAGCGCCGGCCATCATAAGAGGGTATTGGGTCACCCCATGTGTATGGCGCCTAACTGGCGTCCAACAATAATGAAAATATGAACACTTGTGGACCCGAGAGTGTATATATGTGTGAGTGTGCCTCTGCGATCCCCCAATGGAGGCGGAAACAAATGGGCAGAGTTTCTTTCACCCTGATGCCCCTGTTACCTAGCAGTAAATAGGTACCTGGGAGTTAGACAGCTGCTACGGGCTGCTTCCTGGGATGGGGGGGGGGTGTAACAAAAAGGAGGCCTGGTCGAGGACCGGGCCGCTTTGACGCTAAGTCCCGAAATCATCTCAAGATATCCTCTAGATAATACTCCCTCATGAATAATCGATACATTAAAGTCCCTAATCAACTGAGCAACACAATTAATAGCCTAGTAGAAAGGATATTGGGAAGAAGGGCGAAGTGCTAAATTAATCCACTTTAGACAGACTGATTCATCACTTCCGTCTCATTTTGACTCTTGTGGTTGAGAAAATGGTCACCAGGGTAGCCTCTTGATCCTGGTTGATCACCTCCAATCTTCCTCGGTGATAGTGGTAGGGATGATAGGAGGGCCCAAATGATCATCGCTCACAATGCACTATTTACTGGTTTACCCGCATTGCAAGCTGCCTTTCCTGGAGTCCACATTCCAACAAGTTCCCTCACAACCAGCAGGTCGTCGACCAGGGCTGCCTTTGTTTATCCTGTATCGTTCCAAATCCTACGAGCGGCTTCAAGGTCACTCAGTTGTCCTTTCAAATCCGCCCTCCCGGTAGATAAGTGGACTCATGTATTTCGAAGTCGCACTTCTCGCGGTTTGAGCCCTCCCTTATGCCTCCTGGGTTCTGCGTCTTGACTGCCTTCGATCTTGATTTCTACCAGCGGGCGTCCACCTCCATGAACTAGACTGCTTCTTGCTGGAGAGACAGATGGTGTGTCCTACAACGACAGTCACCATGAGTGCAGTGATGTGGCAAGAGTCTCCCGCTTACGACGTGGGCGGTGACGTCACGTCACATCACACGACGGCGCGTTCTTATTGGCCGCGTTCGTGGTGGCCAGTCAATCATAATTCCCACATTCCTGGGACACCCAGTGTCTTCACTTCTGGCTTGTTTGTGGCGGGAAACGCTCCCTCCTGCCTGGGTGTGTGAGCCATCTTGCCTCCCAGGGTGGGCTTCTTACCCACCTCCCAGGGTGGGCTTCCTACACACCTGTCAGGGTGGGCTTCTTACCCACCTCACAGGGGTGGGCTTCCTACCCACCTCCCAGGGTGAGCTTCTTATCTTACCCACCTCCCAGGGTGGGCTTCCTACCCACCTCCCAGGGTGGGCTTCTTACCCACCTCCCAGGGCGGGCTTCTTAGCCACCTCCCAGGGTGGGCTTCTTACCCACCTCCCAGGGTAGGCTTCCTACCCACCTCCCAGGGTGGGCTTCTTACCCACCTCCCAGGGTGGGCTTCCTACCCACCTCCCAGGGTGGGCTTCCTACCCACCTCCCAGGGTGGGCTTCCTACCCACCTCCCAGGGTGGGCTTCCTACCCACCTCCCAGGGTGGGCTTCCTACCCACCCTCACCCAACTTTGTAACCATCATAACATTAAATTCTGGGTTCAGTTCTTCCCTTAAACGTAGCTAATAAAACTATGGGGCTTATGGACTATTTACAGGAGGGGGGATGGGTGAATATGACTCTTAATTAATTAATAGGCGGGAGAAGGAATGTATCTTGTCGCTACACGTAACAATATTCATGGTTGATAGACCATGCTGGTAGACAGCAGGAATATATTCGAGCATTTTGAAGCCCCACACGACACTTGAAAGTTTCTCTTGTATGATAATTTTTTCCATAGCGGAAAGTGATTCGTAAATGCATATTGATGTTGTTTATATAACCTACCACTTTGGTGTTGTTGATCAGGTTGTGAGAGTGAATGGTACCATCGTTGCTGCCCCAACGTCCAAGTCTGCAGCACTGTTCCTGGACCTTTTCACCCGTAATGAAGACTCGCTCAGGATTGACCTTAAGCTGCTTCAGGAGCATGGCATCTATATTATTGTTGCCAATTTGTCAGTGAGTGCATCAGTTTTTCCTTAAGAATATTAACAATTTCATGAATGTCGATTACAAGCTAAATGAAAACTAATGAGGCTTGGAGTGAGGGCAGTGACTTCCCTAAACCACGATGGTCTCCACTGTGTTGAAAGTGTTATATCCACTGGACCATACAGGTGTTGTGTATTATTGGTGTTGTGTATTATTGGTGTTGTGTATTATTGGTGTTGTGTATTATTGGTGTTGTGTATTATTGGTGTTGTGTATTATTGGTGTTGTGTATTATTGGATAATACACAACATGTGTATTATTGGATAATACACAACATGTGTATTATTGGATAATACACAACATGTGTATTATTGGATAATACACAATGACTCCCAGATAGTTTTCAGTCAATTAGGAAAATTTGACCATTATTAGGCGTATATCCAATTACTCTTATTATCATCTGGGTTCAGAACCCTACATTTGTCACCATTAAACTGCATATTCTTTCGTTAGTCATGCCACAGCAGATGGACGGCCCTTCCAATGTTTAGGTCTGCCCATCCTGACTCCTCCAATGTTTAGGTCTGCCCATCCTGACTCCTCCAATGTTTAGGTCTGCCCATCCTGACTCCTCCAATGTTTAGGTCTGCCCATCCTGACTCCTCCAATGTTTAGGTCTGCCCATCCTGACTCCTCCAATGTTTAGGTCTGCCCATCCTGATTCCTCCAATGTTTAGGTCTGCCCATCCTGACTCCTCCAATGTTTAGGTCTGCCCATCCTGATTCCTCCAATGTTTAGGTCTGCCCATCCTGATTCCTCCGATGTTTAGGTCTGCCCATCCTGACTCCTCCAATGTTTAGGTCTGCCCATCCTGACTCCTCCAATGTTTAGGTCTGCCCATCCTGACTCCTCCAATGTTAAGGTCTGCCCATCCTGACTCCTCCAATGTTTAGGTCTGCCCATCCTGACTCCTCCGATGTTTAGGTCTGCCCATCCTGACTCCTCCGATGTTTAGGTCTGCCCATCCTGACTCCTCCAATTTTTAGGTCTGCCCATCCTGACTCCTCCAATGTCTAGGTCTGCCCATCCTGACTCCTCCGATGTTTAGGTCTGCCCATCCTGACTCCTCCAATGTTTAGGTCTGCCCATCCTGACTCCTCCAATGTTTAGGTCTGCCCATCCTGACTCCTCCAATGTTTAGGTCTGCCCATCCTGACTCCTCCAATGTTTAGGTCTGCCCATCCTGACTCCTCCAATGTTTAGGTCTGCCCATCCTGACTCCTCCAATGTTTAGGTCTGCCCATCCTGACTCCTCCAATGTTTAGGTCTGCCCATCCTGACTCCTCCAATGTTTAGGTCTGCCCATCCTGACTCCTCCAATGTTTAGGTCTGCCCATCCTGACTCCTCCAATGTTTAGGTCTGCCCATCCTGATTCCTCCAATGTTTAGGTCTGCCCATCCTGATTCCTCCGATGTTTAGGTCTGCCCATCCTGACTCCTCCAATGTTTAGGTCTGCCCATCCTGATTCCTCCAATGTTTAGGTCTGCCCATCCTGACTCCTCCGATGTTTAGGTCTGCCCATCCTGACTCCTCCGATGTTTAGGTCTGCCCATCCTGACTCCTCCGATGTTTAGGTCTGCCCATCCTGACTCCTCCGATGTTTAGGTCTGCCCATCCTGACTCCTCCGATGTTTAGGTCTGCCCATCCTGACTCCTCCGATGTTTAGGTCTGCCCATCCTGACTCCTCCGATGTTTAGGTCTGCCCATCCTGACTCCTCCGATGTTTAGGTCTGCCCATCCTGACTCCTCCGATGTTTAGGGCTGCCCATCCTGACTCCTCCGATGTTTAGGTCTGCCCATCCTGACTCCTCCGATGTTTAGGTCTGCCCATCCTGACTCCTCCAATGTTTAGGTCTGCCCATCCTGACTCCTCCAATGTTTAGGTCTGCCCATCCTGACTCCTCCGATGTTTAGGTCTGCCCATCCTGACTCCTCCAATGTTTAGGTCTGCCCATCCTGACTCCTCCAATGTTTAGGTCTGCCCATCCTGACTCCTCCGATGTTTAGGTCTGCACATCCTAACCCCTCCAATGTTTAGGTCTGCCCATCCTAACCCCTCCAATGCTTAGGTCTGCCCATTCTAACCCCTCCAATGTTTAGGTCTGCTCATTCTAACTCCTCCAGTGTTTAGGTCTGCCCATCCTAACCCCTACAGTGTTTAAGTTTGCCCATGCTGACCCTCCAATGTTTAGGTCTGCCCATGCTGACCCTCCAATGTTTAGGTCTGCCCATGCTGACCCTCCAATGTTTTGGTCTGCCCATGCTGACCCCTCCAATGTTTAGGTCTGCCCATCCTGACTCCTCCAATGTTTAGGTCTGCCCATCCTGACTCCTCCAATGTTTAGGTCTGCCCATCCTGACTCCTCCAATGTTTAGGTCTGCCCATCCTGATTCCTCCAATGTTTAGGTCTGCCCATCCTGATTCCTCCGATGTTTAGGTCTGCCCATCCTGACTCCTCCAATGTTTAGGTCTGCCCATCCTGATTCCTCCAATGTTTAGGTCTGCCCATCCTGACTCCTCCGATGTTTAGGTCTGCCCATCCTGACTCCTCCGATGTTTAGGTCTGCCCATCCTGACTCCTCCGATGTTTAGGTCTGCCCATCCTGACTCCTCCGATGTTTAGGTCTGCCCATCCTGACTCCTCCGATGTTTAGGTCTGCCCATCCTGACTCCTCCGATGTTTAGGTCTGCCCATCCTGACTCCTCCGATGTTTAGGTCTGCCCATCCTGACTCCTCCGATGTTTAGGTCTGCCCATCCTGACTCCTCCGATGTTTAGGTCTGCCCATCCTGACTCCTCCGATGTTTAGGTCTGCCCATCCTGACTCCTCCGATGTTTAGGTCTGCCCATCCTGACTCCTCCAATGTTTAGGTCTGCCCATCCTGACTCCTCCAATGTTTAGGTCTGCCCATCCTGACTCCTCCGATGTTTAGGTCTGCCCATCCTGACACCTCCAATGTTTAGGTCTGCCCATCCTGACTCCTCCAATGTTTAGGTATGCTCATCCTGACTCCTCCGATGTTTAGGTCTGCACATCCTAACCCCTCCAATGTTTAGGTCTGCCCATCCTAACCCCTCCAATGCTTAGGTCTGCCCATTCTAACCCCTCCAATGTTTAGGTCTGCTCATTCTAACTCCTCCAGTGTTTAGGTCTGCCCATCCTAACCCCTACAGTGTTTAAGTTTGCCCATGCTGACCCTCCAATGTTTAGGTCTGCCCATGCTGACCCTCCAATGTTTAGGTCTGCCCATGCTGACCCTCCAATGTTTTGGTCTGCCCATGCTGACCCCTCCAATGTTTAGGTCTGCCCATGCTGACTCCTCCAATGTTTAGGTCTGCCCATGCTGACCCTCCAGTGTTTAGGTCTGCCCATGCTGACCCTCCAATGTTTAGGTCTGCCCATCCTGACCCCTCCAATGTTTAGGTCTGCCCATGCTGACCCTTCCAATGTTTAGGTTTGCCCATGCTGACGCTCCAATGTTTAGGTCTGCCCATGCTGACCCTCCAATGTTTAGGTCTGCCCATGCTGACCATTCCAATGTTTAGGTCTGCCCATGCTGACTCCTCCAATGTTTAGGTCTGCCCATGCTGACCCTCCAATGTTTAAGTCTGCCCATCCTGACCCCTCCAATGTTTAGGTCTGCCCATGCTGACCCTCCAGTGTTTAGGTCTGCCCATGCTGACCCTCCAATGTTTAGGTCTGCCCATGCTGACCCCTCCAATGTTTAGGTCTGCCCATGCTAACCCTCCAATGTTTAGGTCTGCCCATGCTGACCCTCCAATGTTTAGGTCTGCCCATGCTGACTCCTCTAATGTTTAGGTCTGCCCATGCTGACCATTCCAATGTTTAGGTCTGCCCATGCTGACTCCTCCAATGTTTAGGTCTGCCCATGCTGACCCTCCAGTGTTTAGGTCTGCCCATGCTGACCCTCCAATGTTTAAGTCTGCCCATCCTGACCCCTCCAATGTTTAGGTCTGCCCATGCTGACCCTCCAGTGTTTAGGTCTGCCCATGCTGACCCTCCAATGTTTAGGTCTGCCCATGCTGACCCTCCAATGTTTAGGTCTGCCCATGCTGACCCTCCAATGTTTAGGTCTGCCCATGCTGACCCTCCAATGTTTAGGTCTGCCCATGCTGACTCCTCCAATGTTTAGGTCTGCCCATGCTGACCCTCCAGTGTTTAGGTCTTCCCATGCTGACCCCTCCAATGTTTAGGTCTGCCCATGCTGACTCCTCCAATGTTTAGGTCTGCCCATGCTGACCCTCCAATGTTTAGGTCTGCTCATGCTGACCCTCCAATGTTTAGGTCTGCTCATGCTGACCCCTCCAATGTTTAGGTCTGCTCTTGCTGACCCTCCAATGTTTAGGTCTGCCCATGCTGACCCTCCCATGTTTATGTCTGCTCATGCTGACCCTCCAATGTTTAGGTCTGCCCATGCTGACCCTCCAATGTTTAGGTCTGCCCATCCTGACCCCTCCAGTGTTTAGGTCTGCCCATCCTGACCCCTCCAGTGTTTAGGTCTGCCCATGCTGACCCTCCAGTGTTTAGGTCTTCCCATGCTGACCCCTCCAATGTTTAGGTCTGCCCATGCTGACTCCTCCAATGTTTAGGTCTGCCCATGCTGACCCTCCAATGTTTAGGTCTGCTCATGCTGACCCTCCAATGTTTAGGTCTGCTCATGCTGACCCTCCAATGTTTAGGTCTGCTCATGCTGACCCCTCCAATGTTTAGGTCTGCTCTTGCTGACCCTCCAATGTTTAGGTCTGCCCATGCTGACCCTCCCATGTTTATGTCTGCTCATGCTGACCCTCCAATGTTTAGGTCTGCCCATGCTGACCCTCCAATGTTTAGGTCTGCCCATCCTGACCCCTCCAGTGTTTAGGTCTGCCCATCCTGACCCCTCCAGTGTTTAGGTCTGCCCATCCTGACCCCTCCAGTATTTAGGTCTGCCCAACCTGACCCCTCCAGTGTTAAGGTCTGCCCATCCTGACCCCTCCAGTGTTTAGGTCTGCCCATCCTGACCCCTCCAATGTTAAGGTCTGCCCATCCTGACCTTCCCAACACAGGGATACACCGAGACACGTTACCTGCTTCTCGGCGTGTATACACTGTGAGTTTACTCTAGTCCTGGATTATGTCCTAAGCTAAGGCATACTTGACAATTGGTCAGTGAGCTGTGATGTTGTCTTAATAACTTTTCATAGGTTGACTGGTGTTAAGCCTAACACCAAAGCAAACATTCCCAAGTATCGACATAATTCCTTTTAACTTGCTTGACATAAATCATGTAATCTAATTCCTTTTTACTTAAAACTTTTCCATACTATAATAAACTCAATTTCATGTAAGGACAATTCACAAAATATTTGTTTAAGAAAAGTTACCCACCATATCTATCATTTCTTCTACCTCTGCATTCCCTAAATTTTTATTCAGTTTGTTTGACTATAATTAAGGTCAAGTACAAAGCAGGTATCATTAGACCTTGATGCTATAGATAGGTCTCTCTATATATGCCTTTCTTCCAATTACTTACGTTTGGTGGATTTTATTTCTTGTTATTTTGTATTTCTATGTTAATTCTATTTAAGCTGTTTATGTATGAAGTTCAGTTATAATTTTCCGGTGGAGCCCTTTGTTGTTTCCTGCAGCTACTAGATAGTGTAGCAACTATTGGGTCGCATCAGCCACAGAGTTCTATCTGGTCTACCGGGGACCAAGAGCCAGAACTTGGTCCTCTAACAGAGGCACAGGAAGCAGTGCCTCTGTTAGAGGAGTTTATTTATTTAAATATGCCACCACCGGGGAAGGCAGCCAGAAAGTCAACGAGACAAAACAAGCCACAGTTGGCTTATAAGAGACCATAGTCTCATGAACCACCAGAAGAACTCTCAAACATTTTAAATAAACGATCGAAAAGTTCAACTCGTTTGCCCAACCTTCCCCACTCATTTGGGGGGAAGGTGGGAGGTAGTTTACGGTCTGTCGTTGACACAACCTATAGATCTATGCTGATGTGTGTATTGGGTCGCCTCTCTCTGTTTAGGCTCCAGTCTCCTGTTTCAGTTAAGTGGTGGTTGCTTACCATCGTTGGCTTTTATTTACACTGGTGTAGCGTGAGCCTAAGCTTTTGAGTTCTTGGAGCTGCTTGTGCATAGGGTTTTCTTCCCTGCATGCTCCTCAGTGCTGCTCTTGCCCTTTGGGGCATGGGCAGTCCCTCTGAGGCCATCCCCGCTTGCAGTGGTCCTCTCCCAGGATTGGTCTGGTTCCTTGTATTTCATGTTCTTACACTCTTAGGGTGGGGCATTCGCTGGCTCTGGGTGCACTGGGTATTCGTGCGCGCTTCACATTAGCACATTCTTTTGAACCCTCCTGATGAGGTTTGGGTTTTACAAGCAGCGACCACTTTATGATCGGTTTGCTAGTTCACAGTGGTCTAGATGCTCTGGAGCTGCCCAGATTGGTGTTTAGAGATACGTGTTTAGTTATCCGAATTGGAGGTGTTGGTCAAATCGACCTTGGTTCTTTCCGGGCCTCCTCTTCCATCCCCAGCGGGCATGGTTCGCTCTTCTGTTCCTTTCCCCTTGCTTCCAGCCCTGAAGTGTCTGAGAGTTTAGTTCGGGCAGGGTTTAGTTCACGATGTGGCTCAGTCTAGCACCTTTCAACTCGGGAGAGGAGGCAGTTGAGTCAGCTAATCCCACCGAGGCCTCAGGGTCTTTTCGGCCAGCACCTTCTTCCTCTAAGGTCTTGCTTTTGGACTCGCTTACCTGTACCGAGCGGTGGGCAAGGGCGCTGACTCTTCCTTGCAGCCCTCCACTGCAGTTTCTAGGGCGTGTGATGAGTGGAAATTTGATCCTTGGTTCCGTTTGACTCTTCATGGTTCTTGGTTCCCTCCTGAGGTGAGACTCCTTTTGCAGAAGGTGGGGTATTCACCTTGTATTAATATAATTTGGATGCAGCTCCCCCCTAAGGTTCGATTCTGAGTGCCACTGGGCCTATCGAGATTGTCTTTCCAGAGGCTTCAGTCTTCCCGAGTCCTTCCTACGGATGCCCGGGAGGCTTTATTAATATACCTTCTACAAGGCCCGGTGTATACCTCACAAATGGACCGTGCCTCTTATGGGTTTGGCGCCATTTCCTAATGTTTGATGCGTTATGAGGTGCCAGAATCCTGCTGGCTAGTGGACAATCATTTATTTTCGCCTCAGGCCTGGCTCAGCTTCTGACGTATTCGCACATTTGGTAGGTGTGAGGTGTCATCTGTGTTTTAGGTGTCTTGGTGGGTGCTTCCTTTGTGTCCCTCAACGACTGCCCGTTTGCTCCCGCTCTTCCTCGGGACGTGGGTGTCGTGGGTGCAAAGCCTTGGTGGAGGCTTTGTTGGTTGATCTAGTCACCATGGTTCCCTATTTGATCTAGTCACCGTTGTCCCCTATTCAAAGGCACGTATCTCTCAGGCCATCATTAGTATTAATAAATTCAGCCAGCCTGCAGTCTACTCTCACACTTAGATATTTGGAAGTATGCCAATCTCTCTGATGTGTTCACTAACATTTTCAACAGACATCCATTCTGGAATGGGGGTTTTGGATGTTGAACAGGGTTCATGGGGTCCAATATCTTGTCAATATGCCCGGGCTTTAGTGCTCTTGTGTTGCTTTGGGTTGTCTTGTGGTCTGGTGTCTCTTCCTCATCCTGATACTGTAGTGCTACCTCCTACCTGAGAAGTGCCCTGGGTTTTCCTTCTCAGGGGATAGATAGCTTCAGGAAGGCAGAAGGGGTTATCCCCAGGAAATCTGCGATGAATGTAATGAATGGGTAAGGCCCGGAAGCTCCCTGACACCCTCTTCTAGTCGTCGTGGGGGGAGGGAGGTCCCACACCTACCTTAGAACTGAGAGCTGTCTCATTGGCTGACCGAGAGTTACCTCCCCCCTCTCCCTTAACGAGTGGGGGAGGTTGGGCAAATTAGCCGGCACTTGTTTTGAACCTTTTTGATCGTTTGTTTAGGTTAGTAGGGAGATCTTCTTGTGGTTCATGAGACTACGGTCTCTTCTCAGCCAATTGTAGTTTGTTTTGATTCGTTGATTTTGTGGGCGCCGTCCCGGTGGTGGTATATTTAAATAAATAAATGTAATTGCCCCTTTGACTCTGTGAGGGGGGGTCGGGTTCTGGTTCTTGGTCCCTGGTAGGCTACTCAGAACTCGGTGGCTGATGGGACCAAATAGTTGGCATACTATTAATTATTGTAGCTTCAGGGAGACACAGGGGACTCGCCCAGTAACTGGCGTTTAACTGCATTCAGCACTTATTTTTTTATTACACACTATACATGATTTTTCCTGATATACATACCTACAACACATCTAATTTGTCTACCAGTGAAAAAAACTGTATTTCTTTTTATGGTGTTTAACTACTAGTAAATCCCATCTTTTTGCATTCATTCATGTTTGTTATTTCAATTATATATATTGTTTCTGTGAACACAAATGCAGCTAATTAATCAGTTTATTCTAGTACTCCTCCTATTAGTGTAAGACGCCTAAAGGACAGTGTTAGGTTTATGTTTGTAGTTCATTATGTAATCACTATCATGTCCAGAATTATTTTTAAAATCTACTGAAATAATATTGTTTATACATTATAGCTTTCTGTCTTCTTTCCCAACAAGATATCATATATACAACTGTGTAGCTAGCACATTCACTTTACCTCTTGTCTTTAAAATATTTCTATGGCTGAATCTTCTTTATATGCTTATATCTAACAGATTAAATTTCAAACTCAACTAGCAGCAATTACCAATTCAGAAGAAATATTAAAGTATTTTTGCTATTACCTTCCACATAGCTTACGATATCCTCAACACCCTCTCCTGGATGGCCAACCATTTGCCTATTTTACCTGACGTTAACACAGGTCCGAGTACCGTATTTGTGAATCCACAACTACCAAGAATTTCTTACTTTTTATAGTGTCCCTTTTAATCTTATCTTCCAGTCGAGTTACTGCACTGCCCTTCAACACTCAGCCTTCACTGCCCTTCAACACTCAGCCTTCACTGCCCTTCAACACTCAGCCTTCACTGCCCTTCAACACTCATCCTTCACTGCCCTTCAACACTCAGCCTTCACTGCCCTTCAACACTCTTCCTTCACTGCCCTTCAACACTCATCCTTCACTGCCTTTCAACACTCATTCTTCACTGGAAAGAACACATTTGAGGTTTTCAAAATAGTTATCGATGACCATTTTACGTGGGTGATTTTCATAGATTGCTCTCTTGCTTATCCTTCTAGACGACACATACAAATTTATGTATTTCACACACACATCACAAATTGTGCAACTCAGCCCTCACTTGGCTCCACCAATTCACGCACTACACTCGTCTTCATCTCTAATAAGCTAAAAACATAACAAACAAACACGTTACCAGATATACAAGAGAACACTATCTGGGTACGTTAGTGCCTAGTGAGTAATTGAATAAACTTTTACTCGTACAAAAGAACGTGTGTTTAATTTCTTAATGTGAATTAGTAGACATTTTTTGTTACTGTTATAAGTATCACTAATAAGTATTTACTACACAGAAACCCATGGTTGCCAACCCGGAAATATTGAAGGTGGTTGCGTGGTTGCTGCCCTCGCCTGACAGCGGGGAGGTGAGGGTCGAGGTGACGGTGCCCAGGACGCCCCCCGGGCACACTAGAGCACTGGCCCCTCCTCAGGTCCTCCAATACACACACTTCACCCTCGCCTGCTCCCTCGACGCCACACACACCTACACATCGCTGGCCTGCAAGGTCAGTCAAAACAGTAATAACAAGTTTACTTAAAGTTAGATTACTATTGCGCATTTTTTTCGTGACTTGTACATGTTATAAGTGAGAGTCTCTGTTGAAGTTTGCAACGGAGTCAATATTCTTATTAAACAATACCTGAAACACTGAGACACAACACTTGCAAGTCTCATCCCACACTGACCACCCTCTCATCCCACACTGACCTCCCTCTCATCCCACACTGACCACCTTCTCATCCCACACTGACCACCCTCTCATCCCACACTGACCTCCCTCTCATCCCACACTGACCTCCCTCTCATCCCACACTGACCACCCTCTCATCCCACACTGACCACCCTCTCATCCCACACTGACCTCCCTCTCATCCCACACTGACCTCCCTCTCATCCCACACTGACCACCCTCTCATCCCACACTGACCACCCTCTCATCCCACACTGACCTCCCTCTCATCCCACACTGACCTCCCTCTCATCCCACACTGACCACCCTCTCATCCCACACTGACCTCCCTCTCATCCCACACTGACCACCCTCTCATCCCACACTGACCTCCCTCTCATCCCACACTGACCTCCCTCTCATCCCACACTGACCACCCTCTCATCCCACACTGACCTCCCTCTCATCCCACACTGACCACCCTCTCATCCCACACTGACCTCCCTCTCATCCCACACTGACCTCCCTCTCATCCCACACTGACCTCCCTCTCATCCCACACTGACCTCCCTCTCATCCCACACTGACCTCCCTCTCATCCCACACTGACCACCCTCTCATCCCACACTGACCACCCTCTCATCCCACACTGACCACCCTCTCATCCCACACTGACCACCCTCTCATCCCACACTGACCTCCCTCTCATCCCACACTGACCTCCCTCTCATCCCACACTGACCACCCTCTCATCCCACACTGACCTCCCTCTCATCCCACACTGACCTCCCTCTCATCCCACACTGACCTCCCTCTCATCCCACACTGACCTCCCTCTCATCCCACACTGACCACCCTCTCATCCCACACTGACCTCCCTCTCATCCCACACTGACTACCCTCTCATCCCACACTGACCACCCTCTCATCCCACACTGACCTCCCTCTCATCCCACACTGACCTCCCTCTCATCCCACACTGACCACCCTCTCATCCCACACTGACCTCCCTCTCATCCCACACTGACCACCCTCTCATCCCACACTGACTATCCTCTCATCCCACACTGACCTCCCTCTCATCCCACACTGACCACCCTCTCATCCCACACTGACCACCCTCTCATCCCACACTGACCACCCTCTCATCCCACACTGACCTCCCTCTCATCCCACACTGACCACCCTCTCATCCCACACTGACCTCCCTCTCATCCCACACTGACCACCCTCTCATCCCACACTGACCACCCTCTCATCCCACACTGACCACCCTCTCATCCCACACTGACCTCTCTCTCATCCCACACTGACCACCCTCTCATCCCACACTGACTACCCTCTCATCCCACACTGACCTCCCTCTCATCCCACACTGACCACCCTCTCATCCCACACTGACCACCCTCTCATCCCACACTGACCTCCCTCTCATCCCACACTGACCTCCCTCTCATCCCACACTGACCTCCCTCTCATCCCACACTGACCACCCTCTCATCCCACACTGACCTCCCTCTCATCCCACACTGACCACCCTCTCATCCCACACTGACCTCCCTCTCATCCCACACTGACCACCCTCTCATCCCACACTGACCACCCTCTCATCCCACACTGACCTCCCTCTCATCCCACACTGAACACCCTCTCATCCCACACTGACCTCCCTCTCATCCCACACTGACCTCCCTCTCATCCCACACTGACCTCCCTCTCATCCCACACTGACCTCCCTCTCATCCCACACTGAACACCCTCTCATCCCACACTGACCTCCCTCTCATCCCACACTGACCACCCTCTCATCCCACAATGACCTCCCTCTCATCCCACACTGACCACCCTCTCATCCCACACTGACCTCCCTCTCATCCCACACTGACCACCCTCTCATCCCACACTGACCACCCTCTCATCCCACACTAACCTCCCTCTCATCCCACACTGACCTCCCTCTCATCCCACACTGACCTCCCTCTCATCCCACACTGACCTCCCTCTCATCCCACACTGACCACCCTCTCATCTCACACTGACCTCCCTCTCATCCCACACTGACCACCCTCTCATCCCACACTGACCTCCCTCTCATCCCACACTGACCTCCCTCTCATCCCACACTGACCTCCCTCTCATCCCACACTGACCTCCCTATCATCCCACACTGAACACCCTCTCATCCCACACTGACCTCCCTCTCATCCCACACTGAACACCCTCTCATCCCACACTGACCTCCCTCTCATCCCACACTGACCACCCTCTCATCCAACACTGACCTCCCTCTCATCCCACACTGACCTCCCTCTCATCCCACACTGACCACCCTCTCATCCCACACTGACCTCCCTCTCATCCCACACTGACCTCCCTCTCATCCCACACTGACCTCCCTCTCATCCCACACTGACCTCCCTCTCATCCCACACTGACCACCCTCTCATCCCACACTGACCTCCCTCTCATCCCACACTGACCACCCTCTCATCCCACACTGACCTCCCTCTCATCCCACACTGACCTCCCTCTCATCCCACACTGACCACCCTCTCATCCCACACTGACCTCCCTCTCATCCCACACTGACCTCCCTCTCATCCCACACTGACCACCCTCTCATCCCACACTGACCTCCCTCTCATCCCACACTGACCACCCTCTCATCCCACACTGACCTCCCTCTCATCCCACACTGACCACCCTCTCATCCCACACTGACCTCCCTCTCATCCCACAATGACCACCCTCTCATCCCACACTGACCTCCCTCTCATCCCACACTGACCTCCCTCTCATCCCTCTTAATTATTCAAAATATATTTGTCCCACTTTCATTTTGTTAATTATTGTTAATTAATTAACAATATAAAATATTATATAATTAACAATATAATTAACAATATAAAATAAATTTTGTTAATTTCATTTTATATAATTATTATATAATAACTTAATCTTGCAAAATCATTGACGCTGCAGAAAACTCTTTATCATTGAAGAAAAATATCAAAGTTAAATTTTTAGATTAATTTGAAATTGATTGATATAAGATGCTTATTATAAATATTTGTTCATATATTGGCATATTGACATATTTTTACCCCTCTGCACAGGACACATGACTTCTGCTGACTTGTGCACGGGACACATGACTTCTGCTGACTTGTACACGGGACACATGGCTGCTACTGACTTGTACACGGGACACGTGACTCTTGCGTACTTGTACACGGGACACACGACTGTTGCTGACCTGTACACGGGACACACACAACTGTTGCTGACCTGTACACGGGACACACACAACTGTTGCTGACCTGTACACGGGACACACGACTGTTGCTGACCTGTACACGGGACACACAACTGTTGCTGACCTGTACACGGGACACACACAACTGTTGCTGACCTGTACACGGGACACACGACTGTTGCTGACCTGTACACGGGACACACACGACTGTTGCTGACCTGTACACGGGACACACACAACTGTTGCTGACCTGTACACGGGACACACACGACTGTTGCTGACCTGTACACGGGACACACACAACTGTTGCTGACCTGTACACGGGACACACGACTGTTGCTGACCTGTACACGGGACACACAACTGTTGCTGACCTGTACACGGGACACACACAACTGTTGCTGACCTGTACACGGGACACACGACTGTTGCTGACCTGTACACGGGACACACACGACTGTTGCTGACCTGTACACGGGACACACACAACTGTTGCTGACCTGTACATGGGACACACACGACTGTTGCTGACCTGTACACGGGACACACACAACTGTTGCTGACCTGTACACGGGACACACACGACTGTTGCTGACCTGTACACGGGACACACGACTGTTGCTGACCTGTACACGGGACACACACGACTGTTGCTGACCTGTACACGGGACACACGACTGTTGCTGACCTGTACACGGGACACACACGACTGTTGCTGACCTGTACACGGGACACACGACTGTTGCTGACCTGTACACGGGACACACGACTGTTGCTGACCTGTACACGGGACACACACAACTGTTGCTGACCTGTACACGGGACACACACGACTGTTGCTGACCTGTACACGGGACACACACAACTGTTGCTGACCTGTACACGGGACACACGACTGTTGCTGACCTGTACACGGGACACACGACTGTTGCTGACCTGTCCACGGGACACACACAACTGTTGCTGACCTGTACACGGGACACACGACTGTTGCTGACCTGTACACGGGACACACGACTGTTGCTGACCTGTACACGGGACACACACGACTGTTGCTGACCTGTACACGGGACACACACAACTGTTGCTGACCTGTACACGGGACACACGACTGTTGCTGACCTGTACACGGGACACACAACTGTTGCTGACCTGTACACGGGACACACACAACTGTTGCTGACCTGTACACGGGACACACGACTGTTGCTGACCTGTACACGGGACACACACGACTGTTGCTGACCTGTACACGGGACACACGACTGTTGCTGACCTGTACACGGGACACACGACTGTTGCTGACCTGTACACGGGACACACACGACTGTTGCTGACCTGTACACGGGACACACACAACTGTTGCTGACCTGTACACGGGACACACGACTGTTGCTGACCTGTACACGGGACACACGACTGTTGCTGACCTGTACACGGGACACACACGACTGTTGCTGACCTGTACACGGGACACGTGACTCTTGCGGACTTGTACACGGGACACATGGCTACTGCTGACTTGTACACGGGACACACGACTCCTGCTGACTTGTACACGGGACACACGACTCCTGCTGACTAGTACACGGGACACACGACTCCAGACAAGTGAACATTCATTGTTACACTGATCCTTATATATACTGATGTTTCATTTGTATGTAATATTTACTTTACAGCTGACGACCCCATCAGTACATGAGAGTGTGTTGGTGAGGTATGAGGTGTGTGGCGAGCGGTGGTGTCAGGGTGTCAGCCAGCCTGGGTGTCAGGGTGTCAGCGCGTCTGTGGGGGTGCTGAACCATACCTACTATACCAAGCAAATGATCTGCCAAAGACCTTTCAGTCTGCAGTCAAGTTTGTCTATGAGAAGTAAGCTTTGCTCTGTGCCTATACAGTATGCTCACATGATGTGATTCTTGTTACCACATTGTACACTATTACTTGAAGGATTCCGAAACTACTATGACATCCACCGCATCTTGAACTCACATTTTAAATGCCGATATATTCGGCATCCGCAATATATTAAATACATTTTATATTACAGAGAATAATATGATTTTATTATCTTGTAGCCCAAGGAAGTGCCAAAGAAGAACTTGCATTGAAATTTGGACTTGTAGATGTACGGACAGCTGAGGTGGACTTGCTGGATAACGTTCACATCAAACTGCAGCTCCACACCCCGTTCCTGCTCCAGGCCCAGGCCGCCTCCGGGGGCAGCTGGTGGAGCAGGTGGCGGGCTATTATGGTGAGACGCCACACATTCTGTACTCATTCACTGTTCTGGTTGTTTCACCAAATAATGAATATTTGGGATTAAAACACATTTCAAGTGTCTCTTAATATATTTAAATTTTAGATATTTGATAGATATATATATTTATTAAATCGGTGAATTGGCCTTGATGAATTGTAATCATATGTGACCATGATGTGGAACGAGCATAGGAGGAGGCCAGGAGGGAGGTGAAGACCTTGACAACCCTCGCGAGGACTGTGGTTCGAGGTGTGGCCTCTGACGTGACCTCCACCACCGACCTCTCACAAGTGTGGAGGTCCACGCCCACCTCCTCCCTGGCACAACACCTTCACGCCCACGCCCACGCCCTGCTCCTCGAGTTGAGGGAAGATGAGCTGCTCATGGATATACTTGACGGCGCCCGAGCATGTTATGATGTAACAAGGTGAGAGTGTTCTCATAGTTCCTACACCAGCTAATACATCTGTTTAGTGTATTAACCAGAAAATGATGTATATATAGTAATATATTTACTCTAGCAGAAACTAATATTTAATGTAAAAATGTAGTATAGGATTGCTGGTCTTCCCGAATGTGTTGAAATTTCTAAAATAATAAAAATTCCTGTATTTGTTTTTTGATCCAACGAAGAACTTATAAACAAAGGAACAATTACTCAAACTATTGTTCACTTGAGTCATCTTAAAGTTAACACTCATGCAATGTTAATGAGTATACTCAAGTCATGTAACACTAACATTAACATAGTGAGTATACTCAAGTCATGTAACACTAACATTAACATAGTGAGTATACTCAAGTCATGTAACACTAACATTAACATAGTGAGTATACTCAAGTCATGTAACACTAACATTAACATAGTGAGTATACTCAAGTCATGTAACACTAACATTAACATAGTGAGTATACTCAAGTCATGTAACACTAACATTAACATAGTGAGTATACTCAAGTCATGTAACACTAGCATTAACATAGTGAGTATACTCAAGTCATGTAACACTAGCATTAACATAGTGAGTATACTCAAGTCATGTAACACTAACATTAACATAGTGAGTATACTCAAGTCATGTGTAATGTAAACTTTTATTAACAGTCTCAACTCTCACACCCCCCCCCCCCTCAGCCAGGCATAGAAGGATATTAAAAGAAATAAATGCGATAAGATCGGCCAAGTGTCACACCCTCACCCTCTACACACAGCAAACGAGTTAGTCGATGCTTGGGCAACCACTTCTAGCTTCAGTAATCTTCCCCCAGACATACAATTCAGGTTAAATACTGATTACGGAGATCGAGAAAGGCTCGTTGACTTCATGCTCAACAAGGAAGATGAAGGCAACTTGTCATTTACTGAGTTTGAATTACTCGCGGCCCTAAACAAAGGTAAAGCCACATCCCCCGGTGAAGATGGTATCACTTATGACATATTGCGTCTGCTCCCTTTGGTACCAGTGAATCCCCTTCTAAAGCTGTATAATATGAGCTATGTTACTGTGGAACTTCCTACCTCTTGGACCAAAAGTATAATCATTCCAATTCCCAAGCGAAACCAAGAGAATGCTTTCCGCCCAATTTACCTTATTGGTAAATTTTCAAAACATTCGAGAGAATGGTCCTAAACCGTCTTCTCCATAGAATAAGAACAATGCTATCCCCCCGATACATGGCTTCATGCATGGAAGGAGTGTGCATTATTGCATCACCACCTTTCTTACCCTGCACACTGAAAAGTCATTTACCACCTTCCTAGATCTTAAGTCTGCCTTTGATATTGCAAATAGGCATGTTATCTTGAGTGAGCTTGCAAGCATGAATATTGGTGGTCGGCTTCTTTGTTGGATCAGGGGTTACTTATCCAACAGGAAGTCATCTGTATTTTTCCAGGGGCATTGGAGTGTAACAAGAGACTTTGAACTAGGTACCCCGCAGGGTGGTGTCCTCAGTCCTACCTTATTTAATATCTTAATAAACGCACTGTTAAACTCTGCACCGAGCAAACCCAACGTCCACATCATTAGCTATGCTGATGATATAATGATACACACCACTGGGTATGCTAACAAGCAGAACACACTTAATTAACTCTTTATTAGACTCATGTCAGGACCTAGGTTTAGTCATCTCAGCAGAGAAAACAAAGATACTAAATCTTCGCCCACCCAGGCAGGGAGGAATTGTTCGCAAGATGCAACTGTCTGATAGCTCCCAGCTTGACTATGTAAACCGATTCAAATACCTTGGCCTTGAGGGGCCACTGTATGGTCCTGTTGTATTCAGACTCTGTCGTCAGTATAAAGAGAGGCTCCGAGCTCTCAAGACTGTTGCAGGTTATCACTCAGGCTATGGTGCCAATGTCAGAAGTGTCAAAATGATGTACCTTGCATACATCAGATCTTTAGTGGATTATGCTGCACCTCTGCTTGCTTTGATGCCTGAAAGACAGCTTAGAGGGCTTGAAAAATTGCAGAACGATGGTTCCCTACACAGCCCAAAGGGTGCAGCTGGAAGTGCAGTTGTCCTGATAATGGGTGATGGCTTATATTTTGAACCCCCTCCCCGCTCAGCTCGTTGTCGCCGTCTGGGGGCTTAGTGGGCGGCTGCCGGAGTGTGATGCTCCTTGGGACAGTCCTCTGTCCTTTTCTAGCCTTGTGCTCCTGCTGCCGTCCTCTCCAATTCTGCTGGGCATCTTTTCCTTTTCCTTCTGTTTCGTTTTTCTCCCCCCTCTTCTCCTATCTGCTTGCCGTTTCCTGCCGACCTTTTGCTCGTTCTGGTTCTTCCCTTGGACTTCTTCTACTTTGACGCCCGGGTGCTTGAGGAGGCATACTCTTGCACCCGTAGAACTGCAGTACCCGACGTCGAGAGCGAGGGGAACCTTTTATTGTCAATCCCCACTTCGTCACTGAACCCGATCTCGACGGACTGTCGGTTTCTTAAGGTGGCGTTTGTGGGGCGTATACTCACGACGCACCCCTAGGAGGCCCCGACAAGATCGGCGATAGCTTCTTGTTGGGTGTCCTGCCTCTAATTGTGGCTCCATGGTGGGTGTGGGGGCACATTCGTGAGTGAATTCGTAATTTCGTCAAGATGATAACCCCTGTTTCGGCTGCTTCTGGCTTACCTTTTCAGGCTCGTGGGGTGGGCGACCAAGCCCCCGAGTCGGTCCGTATTGGAAGACCGGGCTCTGTAGCCTCCGCTGCATTGGGCCCCGACCTTGCTCCTCCTTTGGCCCCTCTGACTCCTTCCCCTGGCTCCCCTCCCTCCTCTGTGGTTGGGTCGAGCCCCAAGCCCCCAGTGGTGACTACCTCGTCCCCTGGCGCGGCTCCTTCTCTAGTTGTAACTACTGCGCCTTTTAACCCCTCTCTCTCTGGGGGTTCTCACCGCCGTTCTCGTCACGGCCGCCCTCGCTCGATTCCTTCCAGTTCTGCTACCTATCAAGCCTTGTTTGGTCCCGCTTCGTGGGCCAAATATTTTGATCTCCTCCCTCTTGATTCTGCGCCTCCTGACGATTTCTCCCTTCATCGACATCTCATTGATTCCGTGGATGCCTCCATTACTTTTAACCCCACTCGTCTCGGTACGCGTGTCGTTGCTGCTCCTTCTCAGGATGCTGCTTCCCGCTTGGCTGCCTTATCCTGCCTTGGCGAGACCCCCGTTCGGGTCTCGAAGAACGTTCAGTTGAATGCCAGTGTTGGCACTATTTTGCTCCCGCCCCATGTTGCGACCGGTGTTCGGGACCTACGCGACTGCCACGACGATATTCGACATATCCTCGCTGCCCAGGGCCATTCTATTCTCCAGGTGGACACGTTTACTCGTCCCCCTCGTGGTAGTCGCCGTCAACCCCTCCGGGTTGTGAAGATTACCTTTGATGGTAGGACCCTTCCACCCTCTGTCATTCTTGCTGGTGCCAGGTGCTCTGTCCAGGAGTACATTCCTTCTCCTCGGCTCTGCAACAAGTGCTGGAGGTTTGGGCATGGTGCCCTCCGCTGCTCCGGGACTGTCTCTCTCTGTCCTTTGTGTGGTGGCGAAGGTCACTCTAAGTCGGAGTGCGCTTCTCCCCAGGCTCGTTGCCTCAACTGCGGTGAGGCCCATCCTACCTTCTCCCGTGCGTGTGTCCATTACAAGCTTGAGGCAGCCGTCCTCAACTTGAAGCACCGGGAGCGTTTATCTTTTCCTGAGGCGAGGCGCCAGGTTCGCCGGCTCCCGCCTTATGCTAATATCTCTTATGCTCGCGTGTTGCGCTCTTCCTCTCCTCGTCCTTCCCGCCTTCCTCAGACTCACAACCGTTTCCAGGCCTTGGACCCTGATGCGCCCACTGCCCCCTCCTCTGTCCCTTTGGGTTCTCTCCCGAAGGATCCTCCTCCTGGTCCTCTGTCTGGGGTTCCCCTTCCTTCTACCCGGTCTGTCGTGTCTTCTGTGTCTCCTTCCTCGTCCCCCTCCGATCCTCCTTCCCATCCTCTTCCTCCATCTATCGGCTCTCCCCGCCGCCTGTCGGTGCGGGCGGATGTCCATCGCTCTCCTAACGGCCGTCGTGTGTGCTCTCGTTCGGCTTCTCCTGTTGAGACACTGGAATCCGTTGCCCGGTACGTAGTTGCTGGGACACCGGTCTCTTTAAGTCAGAAGCGTAAGCCTGGCTCCTCTCCTTCCTCTTCCCCGGCGGGTAAGAAGGCTTCGCTTTCTTCCTCAGCTCCTCCTTCTGGCTCTGTTGCTCCTTCCACTCCCGTTTCAGTGCTTGCGCCCCCTGTTCCTGCTATGGAGGTTTCTTTGGCCCCTGCTTCCCTTTCGGTTGCTGCTCTTGCTGGGGTGCGCTCCTCTCTTTCTACTCCCCCTCTTCCTGCTGCTGTCCTTGACTGCTCCTCTCCATTGTCTCCTCCTCCTCCTCCTCCTCCTCCTCCTCCTCCTCCTCCTCCTCCGGACCCTGCCCGCCCACCTCTGATCTGTTCTCCCGTTTCCTTCCCTCCGTCTTTGCTCAGTTTACCCATGCCCCCTAACCCTGACTTTGCTGACCCTGATCCCGACCCTGATATTCTTTAACGTGCTCTGTTGGTCTTTCGCCTTTGTTTCTTCCTTGTTCTCTGTTTTTGTCCTTTCTCTTCTCGTCGTTGTCCATTCTTCAATGGAATGTTCGAGGTTATTACGCCAATTTCCTCGAACTCCAACTTCTGGTTTCGCGGTTTTCGCCCCTTTGTGTCTGTCTCCAGGAGCCGATGCTTGGTGCTCGTCCTGGTCGTTTTCGTGGCTATTCCTTTCTCTCCCCCCCCAGCCATTGCTGGGGCTTCTAATTCTTCTGCTCTCTTGATTCGGGCTGATGTTCCCTTTGTTCCTTTACTTTTTCCTTCGCCTCTCCATTGTTCTGCTGCTCGTATCTTTGTGGGGAAATGGTACACAGTTTGTTCCATTTATCTCCCCCCGAGTGTCCCGCTCTCTCTTCCTGATTTGAAACACCTCCTAGACTCCTTGCCGGAGCCTGTGCTCCTGCTGGGTGACTTCAATTGTCGTCATTCTCTTTGGGGTGACGTTCTGACGAATACCCGGGGTCGCCTCCTTGAGCCGTTTCTCCTCTCTTCTTCCCTGTCTCTTCTGAATTCTGGTGAGCCCACTCATTTGGACTCTCGAACTCGTACCCTTTCTTGTCTTGATCTTTCTCTCTGCTCTTCTTCTCTCTACTTAGATTTCACATGGCAGGTTCTTGATGACCTCCATGGAAGTGATCATTTCCCCATCCTTGTTTCCTTTTTCTCTTTTCGCCCTTCCCTCTCTTTCCCTAGGTGGCAGTTTGCTAAGGCGGACTGGACCCTATTTTCCCTCAGTGCTACTCTCTCTGACCTCTCCCTTCTGCCCCTCTCTCGCGCTCTCCTCCTTTTTCATGACACTGTCTTCGACGCTGCCCTCCGCTCTATTCCTCGCTCTTCCTCTCGGGGTCCACGGAAGTGCGTTCCCTGGTGGAATGCGGACTGTGCTCGGGCTGTCCGCTGTAAGCGTGCAGCCTGGAAGAAGCACCGCCGTAGGCAGACGACCGATTCTTTTCTTTTCTTTCGGAAAGCGAGTGCGGTGGCCCGTAGGGCCATCCGTACGGCTAAACGTGAATGTTGGGCATCTTATGTCTCGACAATTACGTCCGAAACCCCTCTGGCCCAGATCTGGAAGCGTATCCGCAAGATAGCGGGTAAGTTCGTTCCCGATGTTTCACCGGTCCTTCACCTCCATGATACTCTTGTGGCGGACCCGTTGCAGGTCGCTTCCGAACTGGGTTCCCACTTTTCTTCTGTTAGCTCTGGTCTTCATCTTCCCCAATCTTTCCTTCTTCGTAAACCTGTCCTTGAGTCTCGTCCTTTAGATTTCTGCACTCATCTTCAGCTTCCCTATAATGATCCCTTCTCTCTCTCTGAACTTCGTTCTGCCCTGGCCCTCTGCGGTTCTACGGCGGCGGGCTCCGATGGTATTCATTATGAGATGCTTCGCCATCTCCCTCCGAGCACGTCTCAGTATTTACTGAGTCTGTATAATCGGATCTGGGAGTCGTCGTCAGTCCCTGAGGACTGGCTCGATGCCGTTGTCCTCCCTGTTCGCAAACCGGGGTCTCTGGGTACTTCCCCTAAGGACTTTCGCCCTATTGCTCTCACAAGTTGTGTCTGCAAACTCTTTGAACGTATGGTTAACGTTCGTCTGATGTGGTTCCTGGAACACCATCACCTCCTCTCCCCTTCTCAATTTGGTTTCCGCAAGTGCCGCAGCACGACAGATGTCCTGGTGAACTTGGAGGTCTATATACGTACTGCTTTTGCTGCGAAGACCTCCGTTGTTGCCGTCCTTTTTGACCTAGAAAAGGCTTACGACACCACTTGGCGTTATCATATCCTATCTCAACTTCATTCTTTTGGCCTTCGTGGTCATCTCCCTCTCTTTCTCCGCAGCTTCCTCTCTCGTCGTTCCTTTCGGGTGCGCCTTGGTACCGCTCTCTCTCCCTCTTTTCAGCAATACGAAGGTGTGCCCCAGGGTAGTGTTCTGAGCACTACTCTTTTTCTGGTTGCCCTCAATGGTCTTCTTTCCTCTCTTCCTTCTGGTGTCTTCTCCGCTCTCTATGTCGATGATCTTACCCTTTGTTGTCAGGGTGATGATTCGCCTCTCCTTCAACGCCGGCTTCAACTTGCGATTGATGCCGTGTCGTCTTGGGCCACAGGTCATGGCTTCAAGTTCTCTACTTCTAAGACTTGTGCCATGACTTTTACGCGGAAACGGGTTGTTCTTCGTCCCTCTTTGTCACTTTATGGTCATCCCCTTGAATACAAAGATTCCGCGAAGCTTTTGGGGTTATTCCTTGACACTCGTTTGTCTTGGTCTCCCCATATCTCTTACCTCCGTGTTGAGTGCTCTAAGTCCCTTACCCTCCTTCGGGTCTTGTCCCATACTTCTTGGGGGGCAGATAGGCGCACTCTCCTTGCTTTACATTCCTCTCTCGTCCTGTCTAAGCTCGATTATGGTTGCCCTGCTTACTCGTCTGCTTCTCCTTCTACTCTTCGCCGTCTTGATGCTTTGCACCGTACTGGGTTGCGCCTCAGTTCTGGTGCCTTTCGTTCGACTCCCGTCCTTAGCTTGTATGTTGACACCGGCTTCCTGTCTCTCCAGGACCGCCGTGATCGCTACTGTCTTCGCTATCTTGCGCGGTCCTTGCAACATCCTTCCTCTCGTCTCTGTCGTGCTTTAACTTTTACCCCTCCTGCGGTTCCTGTTCCTCTTCACCACCTCCCTCTTTCTGTCCAGTTATCTCGCCTGCAGGATTCTCTTTCCGTTCGTATTTCTGATGTTTCTCCTCGTGTTGTTCCTTCTTTGCCCCCGTGGAGGGTCCCTCTTCCGCGGTTTTGTACATCCTTGACTCGTATCACTAAAGCTTTTACCCCTCCTACAGTTCTAAAACGCCTTTTCCTCGAGCACTTTTCTTCTCACTCCCGCTCCGTTTCTGTCTTCACCGATGGGTCTAAGTCAGCGGACGGTGTTGGCTACTCTGTTGTTTTTCCTGATCGCACTTATATGTGTCGCTTGCCTCCGGAGACTAGCATCTTTACAGCGGAACTTTATGCTATTCTCTATGCTCTTCGTCTCCTGCTTTCTCGTTGTCAGTCTTCCTTTGTGGTTGTTGTTGACTCTCGTAGTGCCCTCATGGCTCTCGGGTGCTTTAATCCAGTTCATCCGGTAGTTGTCGAGATCCAGCATTGGCTGTTTCTCGTTCACAGTAAATTTAAGTCGGTTGAGTTTTGTTGGGTTCCCAGCCATATTGGCGTGTCTTTAAATGAGCGTGCGGATGCTGCCGCTAAGGAAGCTGTCCGCTCTTGTCCCATCTCTCGTAAAGGCATTCCGTATTCCGACTTTTACCCGGTTATCCATTCCTCAGTCCTTACCCGTTGGCAGGCTTCTTGGTTGTCTGTTACTGGTAACAAGCTACGTACTCTTAAATGTTGTGTTTCCTCGTGGCCGTCCTCCTTCCACCGTAACCGGCGGTGGGAAACAGCTCTAGCGAGGTTGCGTATTGGCCATACTCGCTTAACCCATGGTCACTTGATGGAGCGCCGCCCTGCTCCTTATTGTCCTAGTTGCATTGTCCCTCTTACGGTCGTGCATGTCCTTCTTGAATGTCCTGACTTCCAGGACGAGCGTGTGTCTTGCTTTCCGACCGCCCCTCGCGGTCACCTGTCCCTCGATAGAATTCTTGGTGACTCGGGTACTTTTGATATCGTTCGCCTTATGCGTTTTTGTTCTCGTATTGGCATCCTTGGTGATATTTAGCGCCCTCTGGTTATTTTGCGTATTTGATGGTGCTACATAGCCTTCCCGGTTTGGTGCCTTCTTTTGATAATTACTTACTTACTTATATTTTGAATGGGGAGTCCGTATAAACAACTGGGCCTCTACCCTTCAGACCGAACTATTTGCCTTGCTTCTTGCACTGAAATGTGTACAAGTCTCCAAACTTGATACAGTTTTTGTAAGCGATTTTTTATCATCCTTAATTGCTCTCAAATCTTTAAGACATAACTGTAACATGCTGTGTCTGAAGCTAGACACAAATACAACAAAATTATTAATGATGGTAACAGAGTCCATTTTATGTGGACTCCATCTCATGTTGGCCTCCGAATGCATGATAGAGCTGATGAGTTAGCCAAAGAATCTGCCTTTAAAGGAGCAATTGAGTATAACCTTTGATTGTCAATGAGCTGTCTAAGAGCAGCTTTACACCAAGAACTTTACAACAAAATCTTGAAGATCTGAGGCAAAGTGAAATTGACACCAGTAATTCCATCTATCATCATACTATCATGCAAGAGGAGCCACACATCTATGGTACATCCGATAAAATCAGCAGACATCTAGATATTACTACTGCTCGGCTTAGACTCGGTTACAAGTATCTCTGGGAATTCTCAGTATCTGCTGATGTAGACCTGACCAAATGTAAACTGTGTCAACAAAATTATTCGCACACCCTCCGTCACTATGTGATGGAGTGCGAAAAGATACGTGAATTCAGAGACAATTCTATAACAAATGTTCCAAAGATGTGCAAATATTTCATTTAAAATGATCTGCTATCAAATTTTAGCAAAATATCCCCAGTTTGCTAACTGTAGGTAGTAACTGAGTGATTGTAACCTATCCACCGCTGCCCACTGGATGGGGGGCGGTGTGCAGGACAAACATATCAATTGTGACACTAGCTCTCCACATATGTCAGTTGCTTAATTTAGAAATTGTACTTGTGGTCGATCTCGAACCCATTGTTGATGTGACGACGTATATTGAATTTTGTAACTAGCTCATCAAGATTGTAATTTGCTTAGCTAAATGAATTGTAGGGTTCAGTCCCTGAGCCCATTATGTGCCTCTGTAACCCTTTCCACTACCGCCCACAAGATGGGTATGGGGTGCATAATAAATGAACTAAACTGACTGAAGCATGGACCGGGATCATCGGTCCATTTTTGGACCGACTGTCCTCAAGACCTCTTTACTTATGTAGAGACATCGTTACATATGTAAAGACATCTCTAGATGTCTTTTTGTAACGACTGCTAAGACATTTTTACATATATGTAAATTATATGTAAAGATGCCTTGAGCGGCTTAACATTAACTACTACAAAATAGTTTAAACTTCATGGTATTCCATTAATTAAGTAGCACATTGTGTGGACTAATGACTTGGGCATATTCCAGTGTTATGATAGAGGGTGGAGTAGCCTACCTGAGCCACAACTATGGGCGGAGCATCAGCGAGGCGCGGGTGGGTGCGGGCGTGTGGGTTGAGGCCGCCCTCGTCCACACAGCAGCTTGGCTCACCCACCTGGGCCAGCGGGCAGCAAACACCCTCATCTCTACATTAACCTTCATTGCTGACCTGCCTGAAGCATTATGGAATTACGGTGAGTTGAGAAGTTTGGAAAGTATAATAATAATGATCAAACTACACATTGGTGCAGTGTGGCCACACGCAGGTGCAGTGTGGCCACATGCAGATGTAGTGTGGCCACATGCAGGTGTAGTGTGGCCACATGCAGGAGTAGTGTGGCCACATGCAGGTGTAGTGTGGCCACATGTAGGTGTAGTGTGGCCACATGTAGGTGTAGTGTGGCCACTTGTAGGTGTAGTGTGGCCACACGCAGGTGTAGTGTGGCCACACGCAGGTGTAGTGTGGCCACACGCAGGTGTAGTGTGGCCACACGCAGGTGTAGTGTGGCCACACGCAGGTGTAGTGTGGCCATATGCAGGTGTAGTGTGGCCACACGCAGGTGTAGTGTGGCCACACGCAGGTGTAGTGTGGCCACACGCAGGTGTAGTGTGGCCATATGCAGGTGTAGTGTGGCCACACGCAGGTGTAGTGTGGCCACACGCAGGTGTAGTGTGGCCATATGCAGGTGTAGTGTGGCCACACGCAGGTGTAGTGTGGCCACATGTAGGTGTAGTGTGGCCACATGTAGGTGTAGTGTGGCCATATGCAGGTGTAGTGTGGCCATATGCAGGTGTAGTGTGGCCATATGCAGGTGTAGTGTGGCCATATGCTGGTGTAGTGTGGCCATATGCAGGTGTAGTGTGGCCACATGTAGGTGTAGTGTGGCAAGGCCACATGCAGGTGTAGTGTGGCCACATGCAGGTGTAGTGTGGCCATATGCAGGTGTAGTGTGGCCACATGTAGGTGTAGTGTGGCAAGGCCACATGCAGGTGTAGTGTGGCCACATGCAGGTGTAGTGTGGCCATATGTAGGTGTAGTGTGGCCACATGCAGGTGTAGTGTGGCCACATGCAGGTGTAGTGTGGCCACATGCAGGTGTAGTGTAACAACAACAGTAACACAGTATGGTGCACACTACACTGACACAACAACAGTAACACAGTATGGTGCACGCTACACTGACACAACAACAGTATGACAGTATGGTGCACACTACACTGACACAACAGCAGTAAGACAGTATGGTGCACACTACACTGGACACAACAACAGTAAGACAGTATGGTGCACACTACACTGGACACAACAACAGTAAGACAGTATGGTGCACACTACACTGACACAACAACAGTAAGACAGTATGGTGCACACTACACTGGACACAACAACAGTATGACAGTATGGTGCACACTACACTGACACAACAGCAGTAAGACAGTATAGTGCACACTACACTGGACACAACAACAGTATGGTGCACACACCACTGGACACAACAACAGTATGGTGCACACTACACTGACACAACAACAGTAAGACAGTATGGTGCACACACCACTGGACACAACAACAGTATGGTGCACACTACACTGACACAACAACAGTATGACAGTATGGTGCACACTACACTGACACAACAACAGTATGGTGCACACTACACTGACACAACAACAGTATGGTGCACACTACACTGACACAACAACAGTATGACAGTATGGTGCACACTACACTGACACAACAACAGCATGGTGCACACTACACTGACACAACAACAGTAAGACAGTATGGTGCACACTACACTGGACACAACAACAGTATGACAGTATGGTGCACACTACACTAACACAACAACAGTAAGACAGTATACAACAGTAAGACAGTATGGTGCACACTACACTGACACAACAACAGTATGACAGTATGGTGCACACTACACTGACACAACAACAGTAAGACAGTATGGTGCACACTACACTGGACACAACAACAGTAAGACAGTATGGTGCACACTACACTGACACAACAACAGTAAGACAGTATGGTGCACACTACACTGGACACAACAACAGTAAGACAGTATGGTGCACACTACACTGACACAACAACAGTATGACAGTATGGTGCACACTACACTGGACACAACAACAGTATGACAGTATGGTGCACACTACACTGACACAACAGCAGTAAGACAGTATAGTGCACACTACACTGGACACAACAACAGTATGGTGCACACACCACTGGACACAACAACAGTATGGTGCACACTACACTGACACAACAACAGTAAGACAGTATGGTGCACACACAACACTGGACACAACAACAGTATGGTGCACACTACACTGACACAACAACAGTATGACAGTATGGTGCACACTACACTGACACAACAACAGTATGGTGCACACTACACTGACACAACAACAGTATGGTGCACACTACACTGACAACAACAGTATGACAGTATGGTGCACACTACACTGACACAACAACAGTATGACAGTATGGTGCACACTACACTGACACAACAACAGTATGACAGTATGGTGCACACTACACTGACACAACAACAGTAAGACAGTATGGTGCACACTACACTGGACACAACAACAGTATGACAGTATGGTGCACACTACACTGACACAACAACAGTAAGACAGTATGGTGCACACTACACTGACACAACAACAGTATGGTGCACACTACACTGACACAACAACAGTAAGACAGTATGGTGCACACTACACTGACACAACAACAGTAAGACAGTATGGTGCACACTACACTGGACACAACAACAGTAAGACAGTATGGTGCACACTACACTGACACAACAACAGTAAGACAGTATGGTGCACACTACACTGGACACAACAACAGTATGACAGTATGGTGCACACTACACTGACACAACAACAGAAGACAGTATGGTGCACACTACACTGGACACAACAACAGTAAGACAGTATGGTGCACACTACACTGACACAACAACAGAAGACAGTATGGTGCACACTACACTGGACACAACAACAGTATGACAGTATGGTGCACACTACACTGGACACAACAACAGTATGACAGTATGGTGCACACTACACTGACACAACAACAGTATGGTGCACACTACACTGACACAACAACAGTATGGTGCACACTACACTGGACACAACAACAGTATGACAGTATGGTGCACACTACACTGACACAACAACAGTATGGTGCACACTACACTGGACACAACAACAGTATGGTGCACACACCACTGGACACAACAACAGTATGACAGTATGGTGCACACTACACTGGACACAACAACAGTATGGTGCACACTACACTGGACACAACAACAGTAAGACAGTATGGTGCACACTACACTGGACACAACAACAGTAAGACAGTATGGTGCACACTACACTGACACAACAACAGTAAGACAGTATGGTGCACACTACACTGGACACAACAACAGTAAGACAGTATGGTGCACACTACACTGACACAACAACAGTATTATGTACACTACACTGACACAACAGCAGTAAGACAGTATGGTGCACACTACACTGGACACAACAACAGTATGACAGTATGGTGCACACTACACTGACACAACAGCAGTAAGACAGTATGGTGCACACTACACTGGACACAACAACAGTATGGTGCACACTACACTGACACAACAGCAGTAAGACAGTATGGTGCACACTACACTGGACACAACAACAGTATGACAGTATGGTGCACACTACACTGACACAACAACAGTAAGACAGTATGGTGCACACTACACCGGACACAACAACAGTAAGACAGTATGGTGCACACTACACTGACACAACAACAGTAACACAGTATGGTGCACACTACACTGGACACAACAACAGTATGACAGTATGGTGCACACTACACTGGACACAACAGCAGTAAGACAGTATGGTGCACACTACACTGGACACAACAACAGTAAGACAGTATGGTGCACACTACACTGGACACAACAACAGTAAGACAGTATGGTGCACACTACACTGGACACAACAACAGTATGGTGCACACTACACTGGACACAACAACAGAAGACAGTATGGTGCACACTACACTGACACAACAACAGTATGGTGCACACTACACTGGACACAACAACAGTATGACAGTATGGTGCACACTACACTAGACACAACAACAGTAAGACAGTATGGTGCACACTACACTGGACACAACAACAGTATGACAGTATGGTGCACACTACACTGGACACAACAGCAGTAAGACAGTATGGTGCACACTACACTAGACACAACAACAGTATGACAGTATGGTGCACACTACACTGGACACAACAACAGTATGACAGTATGGTGCACACTACACTAGACACAACAACAGTATGACAGTATGGTGCACACTACACTAGACACAACAACAGTATGACAGTATGGTGCACACTACACTAGACACAACAACAGAAGACAGTATGGTGCACACTACACTGGACACAACAACAGTATGACAGTATGGTGCACACTACACTAGACACAACAACAGTATGACAGTATGGTGCACACTACACTAGACACAACAACAGTATGACAGTATGGTGCACACTACACTGGACACAACAACAGTATGGTGACAGTATGGTGCACACTACACTGGACACACAACAGTATGACAGTATGGTGCACACTACACTGGACACAACAACAGTATGGTGCACACTACACTGGACACAACAACAGTATGGTGCACAGTATGGTGCTACACTGGACACAACAACAGTATGGTGCACACTATGACAGTATGGTGCACACTACACTGGACACAACAACAGTAAGACAGTATGGTGCTCACTACACTAACACAACAACAGTATGACAGTATGGTGCACACTACACTGGACACAACAACAGTATGGTGCACACTACACTGGACACAACAGTATGACAGTATGGTGCACACTACACTAGACACAACAACAGTAAGACAGTATGGTGCACACTACACTGGACACAACAACAGTATGGTGCACACTACACTGGACACAACAACAGTAAGACAGTATGGTGCACACTACACTGGACACAACAACAGTAAGACAGTATGGTGCACACTACACTGGACACAACAACAGTATGACAGTATGGTGCACACTACACTGGACACAACAGCAGTAAGACAGTAT